GCCGCAGGTGGGGGGAGGTACGAGGGGAGCGGGCGGACCCAGCGCCGAACGTGGGCGGGAGTAGCACGGCGGAGGAGCGCCACAGGTGGGGGCGGGGGCAGCGGATGGTCTCAGAGGGGCGGGGAGGCAGGTGGAGGGTGCATCGCTGGTTGGAGGAGGATCAAGGTCCGCTGGGGAGCATCCCCGGGGGAAAGAAAAGCATGGCAGGTGGGCGGAGCATCTTAGATGGGCGGGATCACAGCAATTGTGGGAGCATTGCGGGTGGCAGGTGGGGGGGGCGCGGGGCCAGCGGCTACTAGGGAAACAGAACCCAACGGAGGCGCTCCCCGCGGGATTCCTCCCCGCGCGGCGCTCGGAGCCGAGGGCGCCCCAGCTTTTTCTACGGCTCCCCCAGGTTTCACCTGTGGCCTGGGGTTGGGAGGACGTGCAGCGGATCCTCAAGCTGGTGGCAAAAGTGGGCGTCGCTGGCTGGCGATGACCAAGCCCTGGGCCTGCCTCCGGCTAGAGGAGGAGCAGGAAGTGACCGCGGAGATGGTCTTAGCGACACCCTCCAGCCAGCCAGCAGGACCTGGTTGCAGAGAAGACAGTGGGGCGGTGGAGGGCGCAGGGAAGACTTGTCGGGGGAGATTAGACCGAAGCTCTTACCTAAGGACACTGGCTTGTACGTGTGTTGTCAGCTAGAAACTCCCACAGCTCTGCGGGGAATCTCCGAACCTAAAACATTCGTATCCAGTATCCTCGGGTGAAGGATGAACGACCAGCCGACTCTTCACCGAGCTTAGCTCAATGCCAGTTAACTGCTTCGGATATGGAGCCCGTCCCTTTCAGAGGCCTAGGGTCACCAGGCACCCAGCACTGTGCTTGGAGTGCAGGTTACCCCAAGAAAAGAGTTTCAGATATGCCCCATTGACAGTTCCCGGTAGGGTGGCACCAGGCCTCAGCTTACAGATAGTGGCTCAATAAATGTTTATCCAGTGGATACAAGAGGGGAAAAAAGCTCAAGGAAAGACTTGAGTTAACCCAGAGAAGTGTGTAATAGCAACACAAACAAGCTATCTACATAGGGCCACCCCCGCCAAAAGATGGCCATACGCACATTTAGGAGCTTACCTCCTCCCAGCTACACCTGATCCTCTAGCTCATCTCTCTGAGCATCAAAAATTTATTGTAAAAGAGAAAGAAATACCTGCGTTAGAGCTGAAGGTCTGACCTCTGCTGGTCAGTATTATTGGTGAATCCCTCAACCCCAGGGTCATCAGAATCACCCTGGCCTGGTTTTTCCCAGCCCCACCAGAATCACTGACACCAGGGAATATGTATTTTTAACAGGCTCCCCCTGTGTTCTAATTATTGCAAAGCCTGAGAGTGACTGCTCAAATGGATTAAGCCTGAGCAGCTTAGGGGCCGCTGGAAAGGAACACTGGGCCTTTTGGGAGTCCTGGGTGGGTGCCCTTCACTCCCCCAGGGCAGGGGAACAGAACCAGGCTGCACCCAGAGGTCCCACACCCGCAGCCTAGGATTTTTGCTCTAGAATCACCCACTCCTTCCTAGGGCATCCTACACTTTAAAACGTTGGGGCACACTGAATTCTATCTTAGCTGAAAGCCCTTTAACTTCGTATACAATTGGTATTTTTGTAATGTAAAGTCAGAGGTTGGCCTTCTGTCACTGAATTGTCTGTAATATGGAAAACAATGGATATAGGGGCGCCTGGGTGGCTCAGTCGTTAAGTGTCTGCCTTCGACTCAGGTCATGATCCCAGGGTCCTGGGATCGAGCCCCACATCCAGCCCCACATCCAGGCCCACATTGGGCTCTCTGCTCTGCTGGAGGCCTGCTTGTCCCCTCCCACTTCCCCCGCTTGTGTTCCCTCTCTCGCTGTGTCTGTCAATAAATAAATAAAATCTTAAAAAAAAAAAAGAAAACAATGGCTATAAATGGAGTCCAAACATGACAATAGGTTAAGTAAATTATGGTAAAAATATGTACTGGAATAGTTTTCAATTGCTGTTACTATTATGAGCATAAACATTTATTGACATGGAAATATGTCCAGGATATATCCGTAAGAGGCAAATACTGTGAGCCCCTGCGTGAGCGTGCACAAGTGTGCATGTATATGTAAACAGATCTAGCTATTTCTATTCTCTTTCTTTTGCTTATTGTGGGTATTCTCTTATCCTGCAATGAACAAGTATTGTTTTGGGATAAATATGTGATAGTTAATTAAAAACAGTAAGGTTAATTGTCTTCAGACGCCCAAGGCTCTGTCTGTTTCGCAAAAGCTAAGATGTATGTATGCAGAGTTGTGGCTCAGAGGAGTCACCCATCGCTCTCCCCCAGCTGCCGCCTGGAGCCCTGACCCATTGTTCCGAGTATCAGAGTGCCATGTACAGAGACCGCCAGCTAATATGGAGAGACGGAGCCCTCTCCTTTCTTATTCTCTTGCAATACGTGTATTTTAATAGTTCTTCAGACCCTTCAACTGGATGGTTTTTGCGGGGTGTTTGTTTGTTTAACTTTGGCCTTGGAAGAGAAACTGATACCAGAGGGGACAATTGCATGCCCTCCTGACTGCATCGCTTACCTCTAGCAGGATAGGACATGTGCGCTAGTTCTCTGTTGCTGCCTAAAATTTACCCCAAACTTCTGTGGCACACGGCAGCACACGCTTATGTCACAGGAAGTATTGTCCCGTGGTCAGGAATTCAGGCGGGCTTCGCTGGCCCCTGCCCATAGCCTGCCCAGGCTGCAGCCAGCTGTGGGCCAGGGTCTGAAGGCTCATCTGAAGGCTCCCCTCTGCACACACTCCCAGGTTGCTGGCAGGATTTGTTTTCTTCAGGGCTGCTGGAGGAACGGTCCTAGTCCTTCCGACCTGCAGGCTATAACTCTGCCCCTCATCTTGGCAATTTCCTTCCCTTCCAGCCATCCAGCTAGCTTCGAGCTAATCTGCAACCACACCACATGGCCTTGCCTTTTCCGCATGCCCCATGTTCCTCTCCCGCTCCCTAGAATTTGGAAAGTCCACACACCAACGCTCCATCATCTGCTAACCTAGGGAATGTGGCCGCCGCCCCTGCTTCCTGGGGCCTGTTGTCTTTCAGTGTCCTTGTCCAAATTTAAAAATAATTCTGCTCTGCATCTAACAGCTAAACTTTAAATTATATATAGAACATTTGGAGGCTTTCCAAAACCTTGATGCAGAATCACATTGTTGAAGCTAATGAGAATATCTAGAAACTGGGGGGGAAGATGGAGAGGAAGACAGTCTCACTATTTCTGCCAAGTATGTGGCTGTTCAGAGTTTTGACCCTCTGGGCATCTCCATTAGTAACCTGGAGCCTCTCACTGAATAACTTTATTTCCTTCATGGTACGGTGGTGCAGGTTGGCCAATGGAGACTGCCTGCATTACTACTAGCAGCGCGGTTAGGATAACAGGAGGCCCCAGTCATGCGTGCAGCGTCCGCGGTGAGTAGGTGGAGGGGTTGGTCTGTTTCCCAGGAACATCATCTGGGCCTTTCCAGGCTTGCTGGTGCTTCTTTCCTCAGAAAGCAGAAGGAAAGAGAGATGGCCGTCTTGAAGAATACGTTATAGAGGGATCTCCCAGTTAGAAAAGGAAATGATGATTCTAGCCACATGACAGAGTGATGGATAACTTCCTGAGACGAGCCAGAGGTTTGGTTAAACATTACTCTGAGGGTGTCTCTGGATACGGTTAGCACTGGAATCCAGCGACTCAGAGCAGCAGATTTCCCTCCCCAATGTCAGGGGGCTCAGCCAGCCCACTGAGCGCATGAAGAGACTAAAAAGGCAGAGGGAAGGATAATTTGCTCTCTCTGCTTGAGCTGAGACACCCTGTTGTCCTGCACTCCTGGGTGCAGGGTTTGGACGGGAATCACACTAGCCACTTTTCTGGATCTCCAGCCTGCACGTGGGACACCATGGGACATCTCAGCCTCCAAAGCTGCCTGAGCCAATTCCGTATGAGAAACCGCCTCATATGTATATAAGTATATCTCACTGGTTCTGTTTCTCCAGAGAACCTTGCCTCGGACGTACAGCCAAGTTAAAGACTTGTCCCGTGTTAGTTGTGAAATGCTCACTCTGAATGCTGATTTGCATATTGCCTCCACAGGCCTGTGCCCTCCGTTGGCATTCGGAAGTTTGGATTTGTAATGCCTGGTTTGTGTGGCTCCTTACATCCCCATCAGAATTGAAATGATTCGTGGCTGAGGCGTTGAAGGGCAAACAGTCCGAAATACCGGAAAGCCAAGCTAATAACGATAACCCATTTTCAGTTTGCAAACGGGCACGCGGGCCATGCGTGTGGTAGAGGCACATGCCAGCACCCAGCGGGAGTTATTAACACTTGGGGGTGAACTTTCTGAGATTCTGATGTAAGCCACAGACCTCTGCCTCTGCCCCCAAAGTACATATATGCGTGCTGCACACAGCTGAGGGAACTCGCAGGCCGTGAGTGGCCAGGGCCGTCCCAGGGCTGACGGCTGGAGGGCAGAGCTGGGCTCGCAGGCCCAAGGGCCGGACGCCTCTGACTTGTGCTCAGTCTCTGTTTGGCTGCCCACCTGCAACCCCTCTTATCTTAGGAGGGCAAGCCTGGCGGGTGGTGTTTGAGCCCAGGCCAAATGGGGACTGGGGGTCCTGCTCCCTGGGGAGGGAGCTGGGGGTCTTGGGCCTGAGTCTGTTGCCGGGTCGGCCATTTGTGCTTTGTCCCCCTCCCAACCCCTGCAGCCCGAGAGCCCTGCAGAGCTCCGTGTTTCTCCCGCAGAGCAGAGAGGGGGCATGGGGATGCTCC